TACCATTGAAACACACTAATAACATAATTAGTTTAAAAAGAGACATTATAATCCAGCTGTTTTATCACGATATATTATTGATAGTTGGAAAGGGGATGTATGCCTTTGGACTACCTCAAAAATTTAGACCAAAAAATAACAGCCTCAGTTTCTAAACAGAATGCAAAATATTTCTGCTTGTTCTAATAAGTGAAGAAATTTTTGCAATGTATTTCACATCTATGATTATTTTTTTTTCCTCAAGATAGAGGCAAAGCATTATAAATTACCCTGCTGTTAATTTAACCGCATACTGCCTATACCGCACAAAGATTTTCCCTATCTTTTTCTGCCACGGATCAGCGCAAATCGTATTTTTCCATCGCAATTATTTTATCCAACGTTCTAGTGATTGCAGCAGCAAACCAAAATGTCTCCCCAAATCCTCCCAACACGTTCCACGCCAGACCCCCGCCTCGCACGGCTCGGGCCCGGGTGGCCGCGGGCAGCGCGGCCGGGGCGCGGCGGGGCCGGAGCTCGGCGGGCAGCGGGACCCGCGGGGCCAGCGCGGCCACCCCCTGACGTCAGCGGCTGAAACAACAGCCACATTTCCTCCGGGCTCCCGCCCTGGGGACTGCTTCGAGATGCCACAAAATCTGATCGGACACAGCACTGGGGGGGGGCGATGAGACCGACGGTGCAAGGCTGGTGGGATTTTCAGAAAAATGCCAGAGTATTCCGGTGACTTGGAAAAGCATTTTTAGTGGATGACATAACTTCTATCATTGCTCCATGTCCCGGGCATGTGCTTAGGCTGCTCCTGTCTCTAAGTTTCACCTGGTTTCTGTGTTGTTCCCTGGTGACGCGCACACAAGGACCAGCGCCCGTCCAGCACAGGGCGAAGGCAACTGGAGGGATCCCCCGAGCCACACGGTTCTGCCGAGCTCACAGTGTTGCACGACTGCAGCCGTGAGCAGAACGGCTCCTCCGTTAAAAACAAAACAGGAACGCTGGAAACACATCAAATCCTGCCCTTAGCAGATTGCTATTGTCCACTGTGCACGCAGCAGAGTCCGGGAGCTCTGCTCCCTCCTGCACCGGGCTCTTGCCACATTCCACAGCCCGTGCTGTGCGAGAAATAACAGCCACAAAACCGAGACACTCGCTGACGGAAAGCTCTTGTTATATTTTGGACCAAAAAGGCAACTGAACTGAGAAACATCAGCCTCAGTGTTACGCTCGCGTGAAAGCATTCCCAAAATCTGGAGAGGGCAAGGCTTCCCCGCAGCACCGAGGCTCCATGGGGTTTCCTTTCCTTCCTGCGAGGAACGTGTTACTCCGAGCTGCCTGCACAGCAAAACTGAGCCCAGCCACCGACAAGAAAGGACTCAAAGATGAAGAACAGAAATACATAGTGGGTCTTTTTTAATAGCATCCAAAAGTGATGCTAAAACAATACCTGACACGTCTAAAAGAACACAAGCCTGAATATTTCTCTTTCTCACCCTAAGCAAAACTTAGAACGCATTAAGGAAAAATTAGGAAATAGCAGCTGTGGGTGTTTGCTATCTGGTCCCTTGAATACAAACCTTTTTTACAGCCTTTATTTCCAAAACTAAAACAGGAATACAGATCTTTCTATAAATTATATCAATTGCTTACATATGAAATACATATCCTGGAACAGTTATTTTTCATAACATATATTTTTTTTTTTTACTATCAGCAAGAACTAGGGCAAATTGTTATATAACACTGAGCAGTGAGAGAAATACAAACCAGAAAAGCACAGTCACAAGAAAAAAAAAAAGTAAATACACAAATGGAAAAGAAATATATCATTTTTAAATACTAACGTTTTGTAGTAGAAAGCACTGTTATCAGTGATACAATAAGTAAATTCACGTAAGCAAAGAACCAAAATACAACTACCACAAGCCTTCTATTTTTGAAAAAAACCAAAACATTAATTCTGAAAATTTTAGTTTGTCAGAAAGAAAACTTCTTTTAAAGAAAAAAACCCCACAGTGTAAGGTTCCAAAAGTGTGCCAATTTGGCAACGTTCTAATTAAAATCAAAGAGATTCTGATTGACTGGGATTTGTGAAAGCCAGCCTTCCCTGATGCCACTGCTCTGGGATTTTTTTTTTCTTAAAATCCTTGCCATCAAATGCACCTGACCCTCAAAATCCTAAATTTTAGAAAAATAAGTACTTTGCATTAACTTAAAACATCAGAATGTACTCATGCAAGAATGTGTTGAATTCCTTCTTTAAAAAGAGACCAAAATACACGCCCAGCTTATCCCACTGACATACTGGTGATATTTTTGTGATAAATTACATTTATCAGGCACCTCTGAGTACTTCAAACTGGGCTTGGGCTACTAATCCACCTCCCCCAGGACGTGCTATAACATTCCAAGCATAAGGGTAGCTTCACACAGCCAACATTTTTCTTAAAAAAAAGAAAAAGAAATAAGAAAAAGAAAAACTGCTTTCACCCTTCCCCCTAATGTGAAATGCCCTCATCCAAAGATGGGCAGCAATCATTCCTGACCCAGGGAAAGGTGTAAGGTCTGATATCTGACCCATCAGAAGCTTGCTTTCATTAGAAAGATGAGACACCATTTTCCCAAAGATATATACACAGCACTTGATTATAGTCCTGGGAGTTCTGGAGAAATCTGACCTTTAAAATTACATTACTACGTACAGAAAAATCTATTTAGGGCAAATTTCAGGATCTGAGATATTTAAGTAAACTTTATTCTCCTTTTTTTTTTTTTTTTTTTTTTAATTATTTTTCCCAGGTATCTGTAAATAGGACTCAGGACAACAAAAAGCATCTGATATTACTGATCCATGTGTTTATCCGTACCGGTTCTGTTCCATCTCACTACCACAAGGCATTCTCATTGAGCACACAGGCATTTCCCATGCCGGTGTTCCAGCACTGGCTGTGTCCCCTCGCTGGAGCTGTCTCTCACAGCTCACTCATGGCTTCACTGCCCACAGTCTGATGGATAAAACTGACCCTCTGTGCTGCACAGCCCAGGGCCACTTGCACGGACACACAGCTATTTTTATCCTCTAGCTACCATAAACGAATATGTCTCCAGCTCTGAAAGGGCACACAATCCGTGTCAGCACAGTTTCACATGTTTGCTCTTTTGGGCTAATAAAATCTCAGAGAAAACAATTTTTGATTTAGCGTGTCTCCCCTCCCCTTCCCGTGAGCCGCTGCCGCTGTCAGTCCTCGGGGGCACACACAGCAGGGCACCATGTCATGTCACACTAGGTGCTGGGATTCAACAAAGGCCAACATGTTGATATCTTTTTATTGCTCGGCAGCCCGCTTACCCCATTTTTCCCCTCTACAATTGGAGGCTTTTGGAAACACGGGAAGTTCTGAAGCAGTAACAATTCTGTTTTCAGTCAGAAAAGTATTTTTGTTTTACAAAGCGATAGTGTCTGATCTTGCTTTTTAGGTCGCTGAGTACAATTCTTTATTTTACAGAAACTAAAGTTGGGGACGTAGAAGGTACATTTATTTGAAATTAATGTAAATATTTACATTGCCAAATAATGTTTTTTTTTAGGTAGCCTGAAGACTATTCGATATTCTTTACTAATTAACAAAAAAATATATAAGGTGTTACTACCTACAGAAAAAGAAGTTTCATCAATTTACAACTACGGCTACCACAGGGTGGTTTATTTTGTGTAAAAACGAAAGGCAAAGCCTGTGGACGGGTTTCCTAAACCGGGCACGAGAAAACCCCTAAAGGTGCCGCAGCCCCACAAGGGCGGGACGGCGGCAGCCCACGGGCAAGCCTCGAGTTATTCCCATGCACCGTGCCCGGGCTATGGAGGACTCTCCGGGAGCTAGAGAGAGCTGCAGCATGAAATAACATGTTTTGTTGTAATTCCTAAACAGGGGGACATTTATCTGGGCCATTTATACAAGAGTTATAACCCTCACAATATTTATACTCAGCATGTCATGTTAGCATTTACTACCCGTTTCCATGGAGATGGATTTTCATGCTGTAGCTATGAAATGCACATTGTTGCCACTAAGCCACTTCAGGCCTTTCTGGATGCCTGCTGAATGCCTGACAAAAGTTGATGCAAACCAATAGTTGTTGTTCTTTGTTTGTTGCCAGACTTCTAGCAGAGCCATATTATGTCCTAGTGATTGAAATGCCCATGTTCGCCCCCCTCCCGGCACAAAAAGGATCCTCAATTTAGGTGACAAGCATGAAGTGGGCTTCTGCAGGGGAGGGCGGCCCGGCGCGGGGCCGGGCTCCGTCCCTGCGCGGGGCCGCGGCGCGGCGGGGGCCGCTCCCAACAGCGCCTGACATTTGGGGATAAAGCCGGAATAAGAGAGAGCGCGGGCAACGGCGGGGCCGGGGCCGTGGCCAGCCCCAGAGCCGGGCTTCTCCCGCCGCTGCACCGCTCCCTCGGCCGGGCCCCGCCGCGCCCGACGGCCGCTCCACCGGGCCGGCCCGCAGCCCCGGCGAGCCCCGGCCCCGCCGCCGGGCAGCGGCATCGGCCGTTCTGCGGGCCAGCCGGCGCTGGGGCTGCCCTCGGGCCTCTCGGAGCTGCTCCGGGGCAGCGGGCGGCGGCGGGACGGGACTTGCGGCGGGCAGGAGAGCGCCGCGGGACGGCTCTGAGCGCGGCGCCGCCTGAGCAGCCCGGGCCGGGCCGCCCCATCACCGTCCCGTCCGACGGTGCCGCACGGTACCGGACCGCGGCGGGCCCGGGCCGGGGGGCAGCGCCCTGCCTGGTCGGACGCCGCGGCTCGGTGTCTTCGGTCCCGTTCGTGCCCGCCGCGCAGCCTACGCCGGGGTCCCCTCTCACCGGGGCCACCATCCGTAGCCGTGAGCCCGGTGCCGGGCTGCCCCGCTCCGCCGGGCACGGGGTGCGGCCCGAGCGGGAGCACGCCCGGCGTCCGCCGCTCGCCCCGGGCCGCGCCGGGTCGCCCCGGCGGGACCCCCGCCGCCCCCCGCGCCCTTACTGTTGGTAGTCCTGCTTGCAGTAGAGCTTGCGGTCCCGGAAGTAGCAGCTGGTGGTGAGCGCCTGCTGGCACGCGGCGCACTGTAGGCACTCCTCATGCCAGGAGGACTCGTTCACCCGCATCAGGAACCGGTCCGAGATGGGCCGCTGGCAGCCCTCGCAGACGGCCTGGTGCTGGCACTCCGACCCTGCAACGGCAGACAGCGGCGTCAGGCGCCGGCCCTGGCCCCACCTGGCCCCGCTCCCAGCCCCGACACGACCCGGCCCCGCTATCCAGTCCCCGTCCCGGGCAGCGCAAGTCCGCCCGGCCCAGCCGGTTGCTAACACCGAGCTCGACGGCTGCCGCCGGTCCCGCGCCCCGCACCGGTCAGGGGCTGAGCGGCCACAGCCCGCATCGCACCGACCGGGCCCCTCGGAGCGCAGCCCCGGGCACCGAGCGGTGCGCGGGGCCGCCTTCGGCGTAGTCGAGAAGTGACCGGCAACTCACCCAGCAGCACTCCCAGCGTGGCCGGCCCCGAGCGCAAGGGGTGGTCTTCCATTTTAATGCCGTCCAGCATCTTGGCGCAGTCCGGTGGGCCCCGCGGGAAGCACCTCTCCAAGGATTCGGGAGCCGTCGCGATGTCCATGAGCGGCGGAGCGGCCCGGCGCTCCGGGCGGCGGGGAGAGGCGCTGCCGGGCGGCGGGGCCAGCTCAGCCCCGCGTCGGGCCGGGCGCGGGGACACTCTGCGGCCGGGAGGAAGGAGTCGCTTTTATTTTTATCTGGAAGACATGAGGAGCGTTTCCTGCCCGGGCTTCCAGAGACGGGGGGCAGAGGCAGGAGCCGGCGCCGCCGCCCATGGGGCCGCCCCGCTACACGGGCGCGCACATGCCGCGCACACGGCGCCGGGCAGCCGCGGTGTCACCTGCTCGCCGGCAGCGCCGGACCCACGCCCTGCTTGGCGCGGAGGGCCCTCCCGGGGCGGGCCGTGCCGGGCGGAGCGCGGGCGCGGCGGGCCGGGCGGGGCACGGGGCTCCCGGCGCTCCCAGCCCCTGAAGCCGTGCGGCGGCCCGAGGAGCCGCGCCGTTTAGAGCAGGGGCCGCGGCGGAGGAACACACCCCCCGGCGCCTCACCCCTCCTCAAACTTGCTGACATTTGAACTCCATTGGTGCGCGGCGTATCGCTGCGCCGCGGTGATCCGTCTCCTCGACGTCAAATAGTGCCCTGGCCCCGCCGGGCCCCGGCGGCCCCTGAAGCGCGGCGGCGCCCGGGGCGGCCAGCTCCGTGCACCCCGGGGCGGCCGAGCGGTGCGGACAGCGCGGGCCCGGGTCGCGCCCTCGCGAGCCGCGGACGGGGAGAGAGATCTTGGCTACTGAGGGTGGCGCATGAGCGGGTCCCCGGCTGCTCGGCTCCGCGGTCCGCGCCCCGCGCCGCTCCCGGCCCGACGGCGGCTCTTGGCTCCTGCCCTGTCCGGGGTAGGTAGCAGCGCGCGTCCAGCGCCGGGCCGCGGGCAGGTGGAGGCAGGAGCCTCCCTCGGGCCGCCCTGCTCCGGCGGGGATGCGGTCCTGTCCCGCGGGCGGGACGGGGCACCGAGGACTGCGCCGCGAACGCCCGTGTTTCGAAGGACGGCTCCGAGCCGTCGGGCCGTGGCTGCCAGCGGCAAAGCTCGGGCGGAGCACCGGCCCGAGGGCTGCGGCTGCTTCTGTGGCGGCGGAGCCCGTGGCCGCTCCGCAGCAGCGCTGCCCGCTCGGGTTGCTCGCTGACGCTTTTGAACGCGCAGGGCTCGGTGCGGTGTGCGGCACGTGCGTGTGCGGGACAGCCCCGTCCAAGCTCACCGCACCGGGATTCCCTCTGAGGGAAAAACCCACGGGAAAGGCGATCCTGCATGGAGCGCCGGACCCCAGGCAGCCGGCTGCCCTTTCGTGATTTTTGTATTTGTTCGTTTTTGTTTGTATCTTTGCTTGCTTTTTTCAACCGATATCTTTAAAAATCTAAATATGAGGAAAGGAAAGTCCAGGAAAGATTCTTTGCGAAGATTCTTAATGTAAGCCGTGATGTGCCATGACCCTGCCAAAAGAAAGAGTTTATTTTGTAATGCTCCCAAAATATTGATACTTAATAAGCAGGACGAGTGTTAACTTGAATTACTTAATGCTTCTATTTTGTGGGTCTTAAGATAAAACTTATTTTTATGCCGTTTTCGTACGGAAAAAATATTTTAAATAAATTCGTCACTGTGTTTTAGTAAATTATTTTGGAAAAGGTTTTCAGTAATAGAGCTCCTTTGTTTTTGTTCTAGACAGTAGAAATCGGAAAATCTTTGTCGTTAATACAGAAAAAAATAATATATGGTTATTTAATTCTGAGATCAAGATAAAGGCTTCTAAGATTTCACAGTTCAATCAGTGGCGCAAAAGCTGCTCGTTCACATTAATTTTTTGTGATGCCTTCCTATTTTCACGTAAGGATTGGGAATTCTCCATCACACAAGGCTTCCATCAAATTATCTTCAATAATTATCTTCTACAAAAAAGCCCGTTTCCGCAGGAGTTTTCATAAATTCTCGCTATAAAAAAAAAAACGGAAAAAAAACCCAAAACAACAACACAACTCCTCAAAACCCAACGAAAAGGCGGCGCTGAGCAGCGGGACTGGGAAGCAGAGCGAAAGTCCCTAGCCCTGCACCCGCAGCAGTAATTCCAGCTTTGTTCGTGGGCTTTTACTCGCAAATATCACGCTAAAGGTTTGTTGCTTCTCTCCGTGTGTATATACGAGCACTGCGCCGGGTAATTGTTATTCTCGCTCCTGCCCCGAGAACAATTCGATGAGGTGTTATATAGGTTTATATAATGCTTTTAACGAAAAACGAAATGCAATTAAAACACCCACGCTCAAAACCATCACAGAAATAAACCCAAACCAGACTAAGCAGCCCCACCTCCCCGCGGCTTCCTTCGAATTGTCCTTTTATTTGCAAGGCAAGTCTCTTTGTTGTGAGTTAAATTTGAGAGTCGAACAAGAAACGCAGCCGGTCCCAATCCTCAAACGAGGCAGGAGGAAGGAACCATCGGGTTAACTAAAAACGGCCGAGCCCCTCTGCACCGACTCCCGCACCGGCCCGTCTGTCCCGCTCGGTGCGCACGCCCGCGGTCACCGGAGGTGCGGGGAGCGGGAGCGGGACAGAACCGAGCGGATCCCGGGAGGACCGCGGGCGTCTCCGCACGAGGGAACGGGGGCGCCGGGCTTTCTCCGCATAAGCGGGCGGTGCCGGCGGACGCGTGGGTGTCCGCGCAGTCTGTCTGTGCACATTCACGGCTGCCTGGACGCGTGTTTTCCCCAGTACCAACGGGCCCCGCCCGCTCCCTTGCTGAGATGGGCACGACCATTGGGGTGCCCGGAGCCCGCAGGCTGCGGTTTGCTGCGGGCCCTACGGTCCGGTCGTAGTGCTGTCCCGTGAGGTGTGCGGCCGGGGCCGTGCGGGCAGGGCTGCCAGGGGCGGGGGGCGCGGCCCGGCCAGACTGACCCCGGTTCGCCGGGCCCGGTGCCCGGTGCGGCGGGGCTCGGGCGCAGCCTGCCCTCTGCCGGCGCACGGCGGCACGGCACGGCTCCAAGGGCGCGGGGTCAGCCGGGGAGATCGGCGGAGCCAGGGAGCGCTGGGCCGGCCGCACCGGGTGCTGTGCAGAGCGCAGACGGCAGCGCTTCCCACCCTGCGAGGGCCGGACAGGCCTCCAGCCCAGCGATGTGCAGCCACCGGCCCCAGCTCTGCGGCACCACTGCAGCGGGGCTTGGGGGGAGCCCCTGGGCAGCCGCGTGCCACCGCCTCACTGTGTCCTGTTTTTCTTCACCCACAGCCGGACTCTGCAACTCGCTCCCCGCGGAGCCCCGGCCTTTCCCGCTCGCCAGCGGCCGATGTCGGTGCACAGAAAATCGCCCGTGGAGGGAGCTTTCGGGGAGCCGGGGCACCAGGTTGCCGGCACAGCGACAGCTGCCCAGCTTCGATACCGGCACAGAGACCGGCGGCCGCCCCTCGGGCGGCCTCGCTGCCGGTTGTCCACGGAGCTTCCCACAGCAGGGCGCTCCCCAGACCGGCTCTGCAAGCCCGCAGCTCCAACCGAGCCCCCGGCGGCGGCTCCCGGCGCCCGGTGCCTCC